GGAATCTTCCCAGAGCACCACATGCCTGCCCCCCAGTAGAAGGTTGTCTTTGTGTGACTTTCAGGGCAGCCTTCAGGGCCTGGTGGCCGCACTGTGGCCTTTCCACATTGGGCGCCGGGCCTGAGGCCCGCCGGGGAAGGTGGGCGGCTCCTCAGCAAGTCCCGCTGCACCAGGCACACGTGCACCTGCCCTGGACCCGCGCCCTCCAGGCATGGCGACTCCACACTGTGCTCAGGGCCTGGGAGTTAAGCAGCAGGGTTGTCCTGATGCGCTGGTGGCTGTGGCAGCCAAGCAGAGTTCCGACAGGCTGCAGCTGGGGGCTGGGGGCGGCCCCTGCCAGCAGCTGAAGGAGGCTGGCCTCAGATTTGGACTTGAGCAGGTATTGAGCAGGTGGGGCAGACAGGGCAGCAGCTGGACAGGGGTGCGGCAGCGGAGGCGGGGAGAGGGCGTGGGTGAAGGGGCCCGTGGTAAATCTCGGGGCTGGGGCGCTGGCTCCATCACAGGGGCTGTGGTCGAAAAGTCTTGCAAGGAGGTGGAGGAGAGGGTGCTGTAGGTGGAGTCCATGGAGCAGGAGCTGCCGTCCCCCGGGCCCAGGGCCAGCAGTTCGCTGGTTGGTGTGACAGATGAGGCGGTGGTACTGAGGAACATCTCGTCCGACTGGGAGCTGAAGGGGCCGCCCTCGAACTCAGGAGAGGAGAGCGTCTCCCCGGGCTCCAGCACCATCATGGCCAGGGTCTCTGTGGAGGCGTCAGAGGCGCAGTGCTGGGAGTCCAGGCTGTTGCTGCTTTTGCGCAGGATGGTGGGGGAGCTGGCGGCGGAAGTGCTACTCTCTCCACCCTTCTCTTCCTCTTCCTCCTTCAGGCTCTGCAGGTGCTGCTGGCTGCCCGCATGCCCCTGCGCATGCAGCTGCTGCAACTGGTTCTGAGCATTGTAAATGGAGATCAGCCAGCCCAGGCACAGAGCCTGCCCGCTGGCCTGGAACGTGTAGGCCCCCACAGCGCTGTGGAACTCGTTCAGGTAGATGAGGAGGAAGGAGCCAGGGTCCCGCAGCTCCCGGCACACGATCTTGTCCACCAGCAGTGGTGGCCTGATGACCTTGGTCCCCTCAGCCTTCTTCACTGCCTTGGTCACTAAGAGCAGGTCCGTGAAGAGGAAGCAGTACACATCTATCTTGCTGTCCTTTCCCTCCTTCATCCTCAGGCTGCCCTCCAACATCAGCTGACGCGTATCCTCCGGGGAGGCACCAGGGATGGGCGCGGTCAGGTCCAGGTGCAGAAATTCCTTCAGGAGCTTGTCCACTTTGTCATTGCTACCCTCCACCACCTCGTAGGCATCCATGTGGCTCACCACGGCCGCCAGCTGCTGCCGCTCCTGTCGCTGCCGCATGCACGCATTCACGTGGTGGATGAAGCGCTCCACGGAGCTGATCATGGTGATGACGGCCTCCTTGGCAGGCGACTCGTCCCTCTTCCTCAGCACTGACTTGAGCAGCAGCGGGTACTTGATGAGCCACTGGTGGGGCTTGGCGAGCATGTCGCTCAGCTTCAGCCGCTGGCACTGGGGGTGCTTCTCGGCCCACGTCATGTAGGCCCGGAAGAGGTCGTTGTCATGCAGCAGGCTGCGCGTGTATTCCATGCAGCCCTCCTCCTCCATGCAGTACCGGATGTAGGGCTTGAAGAGGGAGCTGAACATCTTGAAGCCTTTGAGGAGGTCCCAGGCTGCAGCAGCGCCCGCATGCGCAGAGCCTTCTCCACCATCGGCGCCATCACGCTGCCCCACAACCCGCGGTGCAGACGCGTGATCTTGAAGATGTTGCTGAACTGGAGCGGGTCGTAGAGTGGAGGTGTCGGGACTCCTCCCCAGGGCGACCCTTCACCCGGGAGTCCCCGCTGCTCCATTCACCCCCTCGGCCAGCCGGGAGCCCCCTCAGTGGGTCCGCTGCTCTGGGCGCTGGGGAGGAGGAGACCGCGGACCGCGAGGCCTTGAAGCAGGAGGAAGCCGTGGAAGGCAGGCAAGGAGCCCAGGAGGCATTGCGCCCCTGCCATCACCCCGTGTCCACTGGGGCCTGCACCCAGGAGGGCAAAGCCCTGAAGCAGGAGGAGGCCCCAAAGGCAGGCGGCTCCCCAGCACGACCAGCTGTACCAGGCGCATGTTCCCCCGCCCCCACCTGTGCCCTCCAGGCCTGCGCGGCTCCACGCTGTGCTCAGGGTCTGGGCAGCACTCCAGGAGCAGGGCGAGGAGGTGTCGGGACTCCTCCCCAGGGCGACCCTTTACCCGCGAGTCCCCACTGCTCCATTCACCCCCTCCTCCAGCGGGGAGTGCCCTCATTGGGTCCTCTGCTCTGGGCGCTGGGGAGGAGGAGACCGCGGACCGCGAGGCCTTGAAGCAGGAGGAAGCCATGGAAGGCAGGCAAGGAGCCCACGACTCAAGGCGCCCCCACTGCCACCCCGCGTCCCGCTGGGGCCTGCACCCAGGAGTGCCATGGCTGTGGCAGGGCCACTGGCTGGGCTTGAAGGTGAGTCCTCCGCACACAGACCGAGCAGCCTGCCTGGTGTGGGTGGGGGTTTCGGGGCACCTTGAGGGAGGCTCGGGCCTATCTCTGCTCCTCTCCTGGTGGAGCGGCAGGACTCCAGCACTGAGGTCAGAGGAGCCGCCTTCCAGCCCCCAGGCCACTTCTCAGAGTCAGAAGTTTTGCCATTGGCCTCTGCCTAGGATAGGACCTCTGCACCCCCAGGGTGCATAAACACAGCCACTTCTCTGAGTTGGAAGTTTCGCCATTGGCCTCTGCCTAGGACGGGACCTCTGCACCCCCAGGGTGCATAAACGCACAGGGCTTCCATCAGGCTTCGCTGATCCCGGGCCGGGACGCCTCTCAGCTCCGCTGATCCCGGGGCCCTGAGGCCTCCCGGCTCTGCTGATCCCCAGGTGGTGAGGCCTCACTGCTCTGCGGCTTCGGGGCTGTTTGGCTTCACTCCACCGCTTGGAGCCTGCGTATGCAAATTAACCGCCATCTTTTAGCTTCTATAATTGAAACATTGTATCTTTTGGAGCTGTTGCTTCAGGAGCTTAGAGCCCTGCGGCCGCAGGTGGGGAACCTTGGCTTCCTCCATCGCTGGGGCAACCAAGCCTCCTGTTCCTTTAAGCTGCATGGCTGCCGGTGGCCATCTTGGTTGGCAGTTAATTTGCATATTTCGCTGATTAGCCAATGGGAAGGGTAGCGAAGTTACGGTTAATTACCATGTTTCTCTATTATTAGATAGGACTAGAGGCCCGGTGCACAAAAATTTGTGC